CACACACACACACACACACACACACACACACACACACGTACAAAGAGCTCTTTATCTGGGAGGATTTCCAAACTGATGGCTGCTCTTGAACCCATAACCCCCTCACATTAAATTCTTACTGGACTGTGAAAAAGTTTTTAAACCAACCCCTCATCTGATTCCACCAAATATGTTTACCTACACAAAGGTGGGTCAGTCACGTGACTCAAGCTTATTGTTTGCATTGAGTGCGGACCTGCATTTCAAAACTCTAAATCAATGAAAGGAAAACCACTGTAAACACTTCCAAACTATAAGTTCCAGGATAATCTCATATTAARGCTTGTTGTCTCAGTTTGTGATGAGCACCTTTAAAGTTTGCGATAGACAGGTGTCCCTATTTAGCTTGATTCGACAAGTTTTATGTGTCAAACACGACGGTAAAGCTGATATTGTAAAGTTCATGGAGAAAATTGACTCAGTAGCTGCGTCCTTCAGAAAATGTTTTAGTTTTTTATACACATCAGCCTTCCGCTATTTTAATCTACTCCTGTCAGAGAGGTGCAGACAGATAGTAAACAGCCGAGGAGCATAACACTGCAGCCAGGTCAACAAAGCGGTGCGACGAAGCATCCCTCCCTCCATCATCAGGCACAACAAACAGCGTCACCAGACCTGAATCATCCTCAACTGTTTACATTATTATTCCCATCTCTACACTGRCAAAATGAATGTTTGTCACTGCAGTCAGACATCAGATCATCGCACATTACCTCACTGGTCGCCATCATCACCAGCAGCTGAGCGGAGGAGGACTTCTGCTTCTCGACTCAGCTGCAGCTGCGTCCTTCGCAGTCAGCKGGCCGGTGACGTCACTGCGCCGCGCCGAAGGCCGTCCCCTTACATATAAATAATATTATTTATGTAGATCATTGACTGACACTTTTTGGTGAATTCTTATTATTTTATTTTATTTTATTTTGTTTTATTTTATTTTATTATTATTATTTTATTTATTATAAAAATACAGTCCTACATTTTAGGGGAACAAACAAAAAGAGACTGCTGCGTTCCAGTTTCCCTCTGAGGTCAGAAATCCAAATTCCGAGTCCAAAATATAAACTGGAACGGACCCTAAAGTCCTAATGTAGAGTTGGCAAATTGATGCAACACGCCGAGCACACGTGACGTCATCATTTCAGCATTCCTTACATCAACAGAGAGTGAAAATCTTTACTTTTACTGTTGTTAGCAGTTCTGTGTTGTTTTACTTTACATGTTCATTAGATCAGGTGTTCTCGAGCCATTTGGGTTTGGGGACCCCTTAAAAGGGCGAAAAAATTCCAGGGACCCCCTCATAAACCCCATGCTGTTTAAAAAGACAATTTATTGTCATTTCAACCCCTAAATGTCATGGGAATATATAAATATATATATTTTATTAATTTTATTACATTTGTTTTATTAGTTCATTGTTCTCTACGCATTTTTAAAAATAAAAACCAAATGAACAATTTTGTAAAATTTTTTGAGGACCCCCAAGATACCTCTCGCGGACCCCTGGAGGTTCCTGGGACCACAATTTGAGAACCTCTGCATTAGATTTAATACTGAAAATCATTTTCAGATAATGAGATTTGACCTGATTGGTTCTGCCTGTTCTGTGTGTTTTTCTGAATGAGCTGTTGCTGCCGTTGACAACGCCCTCCCAAACTTTTGTTTACATTAGCCACGCCCTCCCAGCACAGCGCTTATGTTAGCACTTCAGATGTGTGAAAATGGCTACTAGTACCAGCAGATGCACAATGGTACAACCGTAGACAGGCTGTACACGATGCGGCCGCCCCGTCTCCACGCTGCAGCCTCCTCCAGCGCAGTTTCCCTCCTGACAATGACGACAGGCCGTGCGCCATGCGGCCACACTGGGCCAGGGCTTGGTAACAACAGACTTGTGCCTGAGGAGGCCAATGTGTGTCCGTCGCTGCTTCCTGGGGCCAACGTTGTGGAGGGGGGAAGACGGTCCATGCACAAAGGTGCTCGCCTCCTCGGTTGTTGATCACAGCCGTGCATGCACTGTTGTTCAATATTATATTTTGTGCTAAATGGCAAATCATGTACATGTCGAACAGCAACACACACACGAGACATCCCTTCTATCATCATCATCTGCAGATTGTGACAAACAGCAGGGACAGAAGTTTCCTTCAGCTGAAAGTCCTTAAATCCTTTTTTTTTTTCAATTAGTCGACTAATCGGATCATACGTTAATTGAATATAAAACATACAGCTTATCACGTCAGAATGCAGCTACTATTATACAACCATCATTAGATTTTAGCTATGTGCTAACTAAAAATAATTTCTATGGAAGGTAGGTTCTGCCTTGCAGATATTGCACAGGTTTCTCTTTCATTTTCTTAAAATGATCCCACACTTTTGAGCTCTGTTGCTGGGTAGCCATGATACCAGAGCCTGTCTGTATAATGTCTTGTGACGTCCACAGCCTACCCCAGTTACCACTACTGTGCATGTGTGTCAAGGACAGAAAGGCAGATGTGGCAGTGGAAGGTGTCAAAGCAGTTTGGKGAGAAAAACAAAGTAAAGAACAAAAAAAAAACAACTATTAATCGATTATTAAATCAGTCATCGATTATTTTAAAAATCGATTAGTCGTCGATTAATTGACTAATCGTGGCAGCCCTAAACTGTAACACAGCATAAATTTAAGAGGGATGTGAGTGTGAAGCTTAAGACATGGTAAACATTGTTAGAGGTAAAGAACTTGTCTGTAAACAACATATTAACACATAGTTCCTCTTCTTTGTTTTTTTCTGAATAGCTAATCACTTTTTAAGTGATGACATCAAAACCCGGAAAACAAAGGCTGTATCTGTGTCCTTCCCAGTCGAGGATATCCCAGGATTTGTTGCATCATCAGCAAACTAAACAGAAAAACGACGATGGCGGAGTTTGGAACTTAATCACAGACTGAAGAATATATTTTCTTAAATGTGTTTAACAGTTTAGCTGATATGTCGCAATGAGATGGTAAATAAAATGCAATTACAAGTACACACTGGTGCTAAACCCAAATTATTGATGTTTTTACTGATTTATGTAACATTCTTTTAAAAATATTGAGTTTTGTGAAGTTATAAGTAAAAAGACAACTGAAGGGATGTGATATAAAACGTATCACGAGGCAGCATGTAGTCATACAAACATAAGTCATCTAGACTAATATCATTTCACAGCTGTTTATGCAGCCTGCACAGATGGACTATACAGTCGACGTAAGGTGTGGCCAACATGGACCGCAATCTATGTGGGCTTCAGACACATCCACTGTCTCATTAGATTGGATTTTCTAATGTGTGGTTGTTCAGATGAATAAAAATTATTTTTTTTGTTTTGATGTTGCACAGAAATGTCATTTGGGTTTTTAAAAACTATTTAATATATTGACTAAAACTATTATATAAATACAAGAATTATCATGTATCTGGCAACTTTAATAGTAAAATCTTGAACATTTCCAGAGCTTGTTCTTTTGTAAAAAATAGCCCCCTCTCTCTCCACGGGGGCGCCTGTATGAGGTTCTCCTCGGCCAAATGTGTCTCCATTTCTGGTTCCGACCGGGCTTTCAGAACCACCTCATATGAGGGGGTCAGTGGGAGGAGCAAGCACTTTTATAAAGGGGGTCATTSTCTCCCACTGCCCCCCTCCTGGTTCCACCCCTGACCCTAACAGAAATATTGTTTAAGACTGGGGAAAAAAGTGTTATCATGTGGGTTAAGTCCAAAATATTTCAGGCTATTAGTGTGAAAAAAGTAAAATAAACATATTTTATTGGTTTCATTGCAAACCAATACAAAGTAATGCATATATACAGTATATATATATATAT